CCATTAGCTCAAATAAATCCTTATCTGAAGGTGTGGTACCTTCTGATTGGAAGCATGCCAACATAACGCCCATTTTCAAAAAAGGGGATAGAAGTAATTTGTCAAACTATAGGCCAATCAGTCTAACTTCAGTCTAACTAAGTATAACTGGTAAAGTTATGGAGGCTATAATCAAAGAGAAAATGGTAGATTACCTGGACTCAAATTACATTTTGAGGGATAGCCAGCATGGATTTAGGAGAGGTAGATCCTGTTTAACAAATCTGTTGGAGTTTTTTGAGGAAGCTACTCAGGAAGTTGATGATAAGAAGGCCTATGATGTCATCTACTTAGATTTCCAAAAGGCTTTTGATGTTGTCCCCCACAAGAGGCTCTTACTTAACCCTCTGGGGTCTAGGGGTAGGAAACACACTTTCACGGACTGGGGCATGATCACACATTTCTTCAAATATCATAAACTTAGACTTATGGGCTTAGTAAAAATTATCTATTCAGATATTTACAGCTTCGTGATTATGTTACTAAAGAAGTTAAAGACTCTGACCAGAAAGAACTGCCAATTGTTATCCAGCTGTTTGTCGATGCATACAAGTCCAGTAGTACTAAAGGACTTATAGGCAGGTTGTACAATGGTATATTTTCATTAAATAAGCACACTACTGCCTATGTGAAGAAACGATGGGAAAAAGACCTGGACATTGACATAACTGAGGACACATGGATGACCGCTTGGTTAACACAATCATCCACCACCAACTCTCTGATTTGGAGAGACTTTTGCTGGAAAAATATTATAAGATTTTTTATTACCCCAAAACAAAAAAGCAAACAAACAAATATGCAACTACAGTGCTGGAGGGAATGTGGAGAAGCTTTGGTTGATCATGCCCATGTATTCTGGCTGTGTCCTCTTATTCAAAATTTTTGGAAGGAGGTTGCAGTAATTATAGCAAAGGTGTTGGGCTTTAGGGTTGACATCACGTTCACATCTCTGTACCTGGGGAGTCTCCCCGAGGGACTAGGTGAAGATGATGAGTACCTCCTAAAGATTATGTTAGTAGCGTGTAAAAAGGCAATTACAAAGTATTGGCTTCAAAAAGATACCCCTACTCTGGGGGTCTTTATCGGTATTGTGAAACAGCTACACCTCCTTGAGCAGATGACTTATTCTTTAAGGCTTCAAAAGGAGCTAGGGGAGAGAAGGTGGGGAAAGTGGTCCATTTACATGCTGAACAGAGAGATATTACTTGATTAAATAGTATATGTTAATTTGTGATTGTTTAATGATCTTTTTTTATATATATATATATATATACACATTGTGTATCTCATGACCTCAGACTGATTCCTTTATTTTCCTCTCTTCTCTTTTGTATTGTGTTGACACTTCATAAATAAAAAGTTGAAAAAAAAAAAAAAAATATATCATAAACTTAATTCATGGCAAATAAATTATTTCTTATATATTAGTTTTGCCATCACACTCATCTTTATTTTTATATATTTTGTAAATATGTCAGATTTTTGTTAAGTTTGAAATTTGACATCAAAGTATAGACATTGCAAAATGCAGTTTGGAACATTTGCAGAAACATTATAAAAGTACATAGTAAGCAATGCTGGCAGTTTTTTTT